TTTTAAATATTATAATTAACTAGTAAAAAATTATAAATTTATAAGTTTATAATAAAAATTAATAATCTTAACAAAATTATTAATTATGGTAAACTCAATAATATTAAATTATTAACGATTTGAACTGTAACAATATCCTTGATATAAAAGAAAAGACCTCAAAAAAATTATTTATAAATGATTTTGTCCTACTATATGACTGGATTATGGTCATCCCATCAATGCAGCAAATAGCTACTTTGTCTAATAAAAAAGCCTCGTACTGGTTGGAGATGATATGGTAAGAGTGGGACTCACAAGGTAAGGTGACAAAAAAAATTTTTAAAAGGCCTAACAGGTGTGACCGTTGCACTTAATGGTCAATAAACAATATCGTTAGCTTGCAGTTGACGGAGGGATGACATTAACATGTTTTAGCATTGTAGAGGGACGACAGGTGGAGTTAATTGATAGTAAAGGGACGACATGGAGCCAATCCATAGTAGAAGGTTTAGATTGCACTATTTTTGATAGTAGAGGGATGATAGATGGCATTAACCCCACGAGTGGCGTATAATGGGATTGGGAATATCAAATCCTCTTCCACCCGCGTTCATCTGCCGTTAACAGAGAAAATTAATTTTCTTCAAAATTTTGCTTTTGATAGATTTTTCAATAAGTCTTTTTTAAGAAAATGATTCATAGATAATTTTGATATGATTTTTTAATATGATTTTTTAATATAATTTTATATATAAATAAATTATTAATTTTTTATTTTATGATTATATATATTTACTTAATATTAATATATAAAAATTATAAAAAATTAAAACATAAAAAAATTATTTGCATGTTATTATTTTTTTTGACATATACTTTTAGTCATATGTTAATGCTAAAAATATATTTATTACATTTTTTTATTAATTTATGTAAAAAAAAATTTATTGGTTATCCAATTATCTATGGTATATTAATGTTAAAAATAAAATTCATTTTATAAATTTTAGTAAAGATTTTTACATTTTTTACTTTTTCTTCTCATTCGAACGGTTACAATTTGAAAATAGGA